TTGATATTTTCAAGTTGATCTTTTTAAAAAAATATATGAAGGAGATAGGTCAATATTTCTATCGTTGTTTTGCAGAAAGCACAGTTTTTAGAGAAGATGGACAGTTCATTGTCACGCTTCTGGTTAGTGGCAAAGTGGTGACTCAGCACAGGTCTTCTGATCCTCCTCCTTTAATTTCCATAATGAGAGAAGTGAAGACTTCTTACTTATTTTTTGGAACTTCCTTTATGCACTGCCCACTTCTATTCATACATTCTATTTATTCTTACTTAATCCCTTCAATTTTGGTCTTCAGAGTTTTTTTGAACAGTTGCATATCATGACCTTTAAGGACAAACAGTGATATGACTTCAGAGCTTCAGGGAATTTGAACTTCTGCCAGGCTCTGAACCCAGAGAATAGTTTCATATGCCCTTTTGTCCATCCTTTCATGAAGGATTTACTTCCTCCTAGTATAGGCGAAAGGTTGGGTAAATGACCAGCACTGTATTATTGAACATATATCGGCCCACTCTCTTGTTACAAAGAGTTATAGGCCAACATCTAAGTACTCAGTACATCTTGTGAGTGTAATCTCATATATCATCATAGTACACATCCTCTTTGTTTTTCTTGATTCCTGAGAGTTTTACTTCTTTCCACTCTTATATATAAACATAAGGAGTCAAAATCTTAGCCACATAAAAATATATTGTTAGGAATAGCAGTCATCCATCTTCAGCATGAATTCCTAGAGATGGTCACTCATTACCACAAGTTCATGCACATAAGCATGCAGCTGAACAAAATAAATAGATTAATCACAACTTTTAAATGATAAAACATAAATTACAAAAATCATGTAGGCAACAGATTATATTGGTGTCATTTTCCTGGTTGTGATATTGTGCAAGTTAGGCAAGATGTTACCACAGGAAAAATTGGGTAAAAGATATGTGAGACCTCTGTATAGTTCTTAAAAATGCATGTGAATCTATAATTATCTCAAAATAAAAAGCTTAAAAATTATGCATATAAAAGAATATTCAAGGGCAAACTTCCTTTCCCAAGACCAGCAAACCATCATGAAGTTGGGAAGGGAATGCACTAGAAAAGATACTGTCTTAGGCAAAATCTATCATGCTGGCTGTTGAGAGTATAGTGAGAAAGTCACAGAAGTAAACAGATAAATGATGATCTGTGAGGAAAGAGATAGTGATGAATATGAATTTTATTTTAGCATCAAATATAGTAATTGTGCTTGCAGTATTAATTTTTTTGCAAAGATAGACTTCACTTTCGATCAGTTGCCTCCCAGTCAGCCACCTGCTTTGGGATCCTGTTTGTATGTGTGTTTAAAAACAAGAATTATTTAATCTATGTACCTGATGGATCATAGTTTCAGTTCTAAGGCTAAACTAAACATGCTGCCTTTGTTACCATCCCATCTCTTTTCTAGTTATCTGGCCTTTTCTTTCTTTCCCAGAAATTCTTAAGATCATGGACTCTGCTGACGGAAGTCAGGCTTCTGACCGCCTAATAAATAAGCTCACCAGTGAAAAGTCTATTTTTCATTCTGTTTAATTACAGGCTTAAAAGACACTCAAAATGGAGGGTGTCTTTGGACAAATAATACTGTAGGCTGGGTTACTTATCTCTTATTGGCGTTGGCACCAAGCCCTTTTTTCCTCTGCTTTGAAATTCATGGCTGTGTCTGTGGCTGCATGCTAAACAAACCGAGGCCATCACATGGGCTTCTCGGCCAGGCAGATGCAGCTCAACTAATCCATGCACCTAAATGGCCAATTCAGAATTGCAGTCTGGGTAACTAACACAGTCGAATTATTTCTAGTGCACGAAATGTATGTGATAATAAATGAATCCATATATTATCATTCGAATTGGTTGTTGTTAACTATCCCAGGGCTTAAATTACAACATCTTCTTCTGAATACTAGATGATTTGCTTCAAAATTGGCCCTTAGAAATGTATGTGTGTATAAAATGTTTATATGAAAGAATTAAAAATAAAATCAAACATATAAGAAATTGCCAATAAAAAGTAACTTTCCCTCCTACTCTTGTTTCCTCTGACTCTCATTTCCCTTATACAGATATGTTGCCATGACTGTGCTAGGTCGCTTCAGTCATGTTCGACTCTTTGCGACCCTATGGACTGTAGCCAGCCAGGCTCCTCTGTACATGGGATTCTCCAGGCAAGGATATTGGAGTGGGTTACCATTTCCTTCTCCAGGGGATCTTCCCAACCCAGGGGTCGAACTTGCAGCTATTATGCCTCTTGCATTGGCAGGTGGGTTCTTTACCACTGGCGCAACCTGGGAAGATCCATTACCATTAATAGTTTTAAACAAAGACATTCTATCCAAGTATCAGCATATATACCCAGATTTTATATAGAGAGAAAACATTATAAGTTATACTTCCTTATTTGTTGCATAAAACGTAGCAGATGTACACATTAGTCTAAGCTGGTTCTTTTTATTTAATGAAACCTCTTAGAAGCCTTCCTATATCAGAATCTATGGTTTGCCCCACCTTTTTAAACAGCCAAATAGTATTCTGATGTAGATGAAATCATTTTCTTTTAAAAAGTCATATTTTGATGGACATTCAATTTCCAGTATTTTGCTATTGCCAACAACACTTCAGCGAACATCATTGCATGTAATGATGTGTGCCATGTGTAAGTAGTGTCTGTAGGGTACTTTGCTAAAAGAGTAATTCCTGGTCAAACGATATATTCAGTTTTTAGATTAATAGATATTGTTTAATTATTTTCCACAGAAGTTGTGCAGTTTTCCTAACCACATAACAGAGGATTTGACTTCCCATATCTTCTTCTCCGAATAGACATCTGGTACCATCACTGCATGGCAAATAAATGGAGAAACATGGAAACAGTGACAGACTTTATTTACTTGGGTTCCAAAATCACTGCAGATGGTGACTGTAGCCATGAAATTAAAAGACGCTTGCTTCTTGGAAGAAAAGCTATGACAAACCTAGACAGCATATTAAAAAGCAGAGACATTACATTGCTGACAAAGGTCTATCTAGTCAAAGCTATGGTTTTTCCAGTAGTTATGTATGGGTGTAAGAGTTGGACTATAAAGAAGGCTGATCATCTAAGATTTGATGCTCTTGAATTGTGGTGTTGGAGAAGACTCTTGAGAGTCCCTTGGACTGCAAGGAGATCAAACCAGTCAACCCTAAAGGAAATCAACCCTGAATACTCATTGGAAGAACTAATGCTGAAGCTTCAGCTCCAATACTTTGGTCACCTGATGTGAAGAGATGACTCATTATAAAAGATCCTTATGCTCAGAAAGATTGAAAGCAATAGGAGAAGGGGACAACAGTGGATGAAATGGTTGGATGGCATCATATGGACATGAGTTGGAACAAGCTCCGGGAGATGGTGAAGGACAGGGAAGCCGGGCATGCTGCAATCTGTGGGGTCACAAAGAGTCAGATGTGACTGAGAGACTGAACCACAACGTCTATCTCTTCTCACTTTATTATTAATTTTTTGAATTTAGGAATCTGATTATAATGGTAAGTTATATTTATCTATATAACTTATGTATATATATATAACTTATATATATAATTTAAATTATCTATATAATTTTATATTTATGAATGTGGTTGGCATCTTAAAAGTCATTTTTTCCACCTAAGCACTCAGTACTTCATCATTTGCTAAGTAGTATCTGTTCCTCACTGGTTTGAAATGACAGCTGAGATAAACCCCTGTGTTTATTATAATTTATTTCTGAAATCTGTATTCTGTTTCGTATTCTGTGCACGCACGCTCAGCAGTACAGATGCAGCTCAACTAATCCATGTACCTTAATGGCCAATTCAGAGTAGTAGTTTAGATAACAAAAACAGCCTAATTGTTTCTAGTGCTCTTTATGTATGTGATCATAAATGAATCCATATATTATAATTAGAACTAAATTTCATGAACTATGCTGAGGCTTGCACTGCAACATCTTGTTCTGAATTCTTATGTCTGATTCTTTGTGACCCTCTGGACAGTCTGTCAGGCTTCTCTCTCCATGGAATTTTCCAGACAAGAATATTGGGTTGGGTTGCCACGTCCTACTCTAGAGGACCTTCCTGACCCAAGGATTAAAGCCATGCCTCCTGCTTTGGCAGGTGGATTCTTTACCACTGAGCTAATTGGGAAGCCCAAAAGAATGGAATTATGTACTTTGCACTGGCCAGAAATCAAACCCTGGTCTCCTGCATGAGAGGTGAGAATTTTACCACTAAACAATCAATGCTTTGCTATTCTGTTATATCTATCTTATTGTTTACATGTGTCAGTACCAATTTTTGTACATATTTATACTTTTATAATGCCTTAACATATAGTAGTTTAGTGCCACTTTATTGTTTTTTTTTTAGAACTTCCCTAGATATTTTTGTAAACTTTCTGGTTGGTGGTTAGGTTGGAGTTGTTTCATTTAAATAAATACTGAAATATGCTCTCTTTAAAAATAAGGTGCAACTATTATGCACAGTGAAGGATTTATGCCCAAGGTTGGGGCCTGAAAATGATGTATAGGAAAAGAAGAGAAAAGAGGGCCAACAAACGGAGGAAAACAAAATAAATTTTCCAAATAAAAGTTCTGCAAAACAAGCAAACAAAAAACTCAGAAATACCCTGGAATAAAACATGCGCTTGAATGTTTTAAGTTATTTTTGCGGCCAGCTAGTTTTACAGGTCAGCATGGATACCCCTGGCTTTTAAGGGCTTGACAAACATTATCAAGATTCTGACCTTAAACTGAAATTCCTTGAACTCTCAGTACCTGTGAACTTGCACCTCAAATTCCTGCCCCTGGCATGTATTTAGCCAGTCACAAGGAGCCAGCATTAGTGACTACTCTGGCAGGAAGCATAACTTGTAGAGAAGTTAGCAAGTTCTGAGTAAGACGGAGATAAACACAGATGGCCAACCACTATCTTGAGCTGCTTGTCCTTTAAGTATGTTGAGATCCAGACTTTTAAGTGACACTTCACTGATCTCAAAAACAGGAATCTTGTGTCTGCCACTATTCCAGGTAATGAACTCTCTTTTGGGGAAATAATTGTCGAAGCTACTACTCTAAGGATCTGATTTGTAATAGATTTGTGATTTAGGTAACAACTCCTCTGATGTTTATAAATTTCCTTTAAGAAAGCCTTATCAGAATCATATGACAAATTATATTTACTGGTTAAAGATAAAGAAAGCTGGTCATGGCATTATTCCTATGTCTTCTTTATTTAATTTGATTGCTACTGAAATAATATGATGAAATTTAATCTTTGTTTAGCTTTGCTATGCCATGACATTTTTAAAAATCAGCAATGCTATTGACATAAAATGCTCTGGTAGGATTAAGACACGTGTACTGTTGCCTGAAGCCATACTTGAGGCTCAATGATTTTTCAGTGCTGAAAAATGCAGATAGAACCATCTTAGAGTTTATTTTGATTCCTTTGCTCTATCATTCTAGAATCTGCATTTCCGTATAAGTGTTACTTGAATGCAATGTATCTGAAAGATTTAGGTCTGAAATATATTAAGACTTCACTCCCTATTTCATGATGAGTCCAAAGTCTAACATTGGAAGTGAGGGGGCAATAATGTCATACTGTGTACTTCTTGCTGGGATACAGCACACAAGACTAGGAATTGACCTAAGAATGAAATGCTGTCGTCATTTATCTATTAAGCTAGATCCTAAATCATTTCATCTACTCATAAATAATTTTTCTTTATGGACAAAATAGGAATGTTTATTTTCCTCTAAGGTAGTATGCAAGTCTATTTGCAGCATTCTAGCAAAAGAGAGTACAACATGTTTTCTGTGCTTATAAATTGTTCATTACCATGCTCTCTGATAGCCAATTCATGGCTCCATCTGCAACTCCACAAATCTCTTTGCCCAGGTAAGCTTGGTGTGCTAAAGAAGATGACTCGGGATTTAAGGGGGGGAAAAAAAAGATATCTCTCATGAAATTCTCATCTATGATTTTAAATTTTCTAACTCCTTACTTGTGTTGATATTTGCATATTAGGGTCCAGGAAAATAAAAGCTTCATTGACTTCATTAACATACTTTTGGGGGCTGCCTATGAATGACATTTAATGATTTTTCTCATTGTACCTGAAAAGGGTCTCAGTTCAGTAGAATAACAAATATACAAACAAATCCTTTAGACAGTGGTACTTTCTTTCCTCTGTGATGTGAGTTGTAACCTAGAAGACTCAACACAGAGGACTAAGATAATTGTGTTAGAATACTTATGGTTTGAGTCTTTCAAAGCAAAGCAATCAAGGTTATTAGCTTTCCCTTCTTCTTTGATAAACAGAGAGATGTAAATCTCAACAAGAATGTCAATGGAGCTTAGGTGGACCTTAGCCTTAGAGCAATTAAAAATCACTCCTTCCTGCGTATATTTAACATCCACTAATGTTAACGGGATGGACTTCACCCCGGTTTTCATGTGGGGAACTTGATTCCTTCTTGTGAAAATAATATTTACAAGTAATGACGCTCCTTCCTTTAGCTAAAATGTGAAAACAAAGCAAAAGTACAAGGTGCACAAAAGCTCCTTTGAGAAAGCAAAGTGTTTTCACACCCACCTCTGGTGGTGGGCTGGATAAGAATCTGGCTCACAATATATATCTCCTGTCACTGCTGAGCTGAAGTATCTACCCAGAGATTTTTTTTCAATTAAAATTCTGTGCACCAATAGATTCTGCTACGGAGATTTTAATTAAAAAAAAAAAAAAAACGAAATGATATAAACCCCCATTGTCTCTAGGCACTGTTTGTATTAAAGGATTAGACTGATGAAATGTTTGGATTTTATTGTTCTAAACATGTGTTTCAGTTGGTGCTATCGGACACACCACGTGAAGAAAATGAAATGTAAGTAAATAACAAGAAGCTCCACAGTTTTATTCAGCCTTTTCAAAATCTGAAGACTAAAAATGTCTCAAGTCATTTGAGAAGCACAAAATGAGTTTCAAATGATCATTACAATTATTAGAGAAAAAAAAGTACATTACTTTTAAATGCAAATGGCTTAGTTTTTCTAAAAGCAGAAAAGATGCACTTTCATTGTGGTCAGCTTTGTTAAATAAAAATAAGGGGCCTAGTTGATTTCAAGATATTTTTGCTCACTGCGTTCTCCATCCTGGAGGTTTTAGATGTCCTTTAAGTTCATGTCTTCCTTTATGACTGCATCCACATGTGTTAAGACACAGAGATGATGGGAGACAGTTTTCTGGCTAATTTGGTTTCAAATATAAGCAAACAATGATCTAATCTATATTATATTTCAAAGTGTTTTGATATAAGTTATGTAAATAACTGACTCAATTTTCTCATTTTTTTGTGCTATAGGCTTAATGCTTCTCAGAATTCTATTCTGGAAATGGGGAGAGGCTGTCATTAATAAAGCTGCTGCTGATAAATGATAACTGTAATATAGTGAGACTGGTGCAAGTGTCAGAAAGCACTTCTGCCAAGTGCTGTCTTCTTCTGGGAGCAGTCCTCACTGCCAACTAGCTGTTTTAATTATTATTGTTACGCTCCAGGCTGGGGTCTTCAGGCCCTGTCTCCAGATTAAGAGGCCATGCTGGGTGGGATGCTTTCCTTGGCCCTGGAATCCTTCACCTGTTTTTGGTGGATCATCCCATTATTGATAATCTGCTTGTTAAGTACGTGCCTCTCTTTCAGTTACTGCATGTTTCTCCTCTGCTGTTTCTTTGCACTGATATTGGACTTGCTTTTTCCTCTGTCTTCTGGGGTTGGTGACACAATGGACTTTTAACTATCGGTTTGTTTAATTTTGGACCTCATGGCTGTTTCATCTTGCCCTTTCATCTTCTGCTTTTGACCCAGAGTACTAGAATAATGATTGTTTGTTTGTTTTTTGATCATGTTGCACAGCTTGCAGGATCTTAGTTCCCTAACCAGGGATTGAGCACAGGCCCCCAGCAGTGGACATGGGGAGTCCTAACCACTGAGAAGCCAGGAATTCCCATTAGAATAAAGAAATTCTTAATTGGAAAAGTCATAAGTGTTGAATCTAACACCCTCATCAACATGACAGGAGAAAATGGTACTGGATAACTTTAAATGCTAACTTTAGAGTCACTGAGGCTACTAGCCTTTTTTTTCTGGTGAAGAATTGAGACCCAAAGAGAGTTAGTAACAAATTAACCATAAGACTTAAACTGGTACTTAAGTACAAAACTTTTGGCTACATCATTTTGTATTTGCATGTCTGTTGTTAATATATTTGTCATTATTTAGTGGCTCCCCTAGTGGCGCAGTGGTAAAGAATCTGCCTGTCAATGCAAGAGATGTAGATTCAATCTCTGAGTAGGGAAGATTCTTGGGAGGATGGCATGGCAACCCCCTCCAGTATTCTTGTCTGGAAAATTCTATGAACAGAGGAGCTTGGTGGACTACAATCCATGGGGTCGCAAAGAGTTGGACACTACTGAGCACACACCCATTATTTAATATCACTACTTTTGAATAAAAACAAACAAAAACACCCACTTCAAATATAACGAAAATTAGCAGAAAATAAAGACAGAGAAGGTAAGAAAGTGGTTGATTTTTTAGGGAGCTGGTAGAAGGTAAGTAAACATATTGAATGTATTGAAAATAGACACAGTATCTCAAATCTTTTATCACCACAAGAAGATGTTTGTGGGAATCTAGTATTAGTTCTATTTAAATTGTTTTCCAAACACAAGACTGATTTTTTCTGATCAAACCTGCTCAATTTATTTTTATAATAGCATTGTAGTAGGCACATCACATTGCTAAGCTTTTGTATATAAATTAGATATTGTAAGTAATTTAATATATGGAATAAAACATGACAGAGGCCCTCTGCATAATTATACCTTTAATCTTCCCTTTTCCCAGAAATAACCAAGTATATTGATGTGCATGTGCATGCAAAAATGGGTATTTTATGAAACATAACTAAAATCATATGCACACAGGATTCTGTAAATTAATTGCATGAATACATTGCTGATGATAGTCTGCCATATTACCCAGCTTGGGGAAGTTAAGTATTTTGCTCAAGAGTAAGCAAGTAAAAGGCAGAACTTTGATCTGGGCTCACAAATGACTCCTGAGCATGGGATTTTCACCACAAACCACACTATGTATCCAATATGTAGATAAAATTACACACCTGGTGACACATCTGAGAGATGCACAATCCATCCATCCTTTTGGTGACTGTACAATTTACCCACCCGAAATTAATTAGGTCAGGTCACTAGTCTCTGGGTGATATGATTAGGCACCCATCACTCCCCCAAATTATTGTAGCTAAATTGGATTCTAGCTTTTTGTTAAGGATGATCTTTACAAAAAGGACCCATGAAATTTGCTATTGCATTTACATTCTAAGAGTACTATGAGAAACATTGTTCTTGTTGTAAAAACAGCCTATTTATGGAGCCCCATAGTTTGAATTTGTTTCTCATTTCTCTGGGGCTTCCCTGGTGGCTCAGATGGTAAAGAATCTGCCTGCCATGCAGAAGACCCAGCTTTGATCCCTGGGTTGGGAGGATCCCCTGGAGAAGGGAATGACTATATCAGAAATAGTTGTGCATGTGGTGAATAATGTTGCCTGTTTTTATTAATTTTAGAGAATACTACATTACCAGTTCTCTCTTTTATCCTATTAGCTGCTAGAAAGTTTAAACCAGATCTGAAGCTGAGTTCTAATTTTATATATGGGATTTACTACATTCAGTTTACAAACTGATCTCATTCATGTCTTATTCTTTTGTCTGATACTATCTCAGGTCTCACTTTTTTTTCCTATTTTTAATATTTTCTTGAAACATTTTGTAACATGGGATATTGAATGCACTCAGGCAGTACACCACACAGCAATATGAAGCTAGGACTGACTTTTACTATTCCCAGTTGTAGTGCTGAATCGTAGTAAGAGAGACATGGGCTCCAGAGCCAGACCATTTAGATTTAAAGCCTGCCTCTGGCCCTTCTAACTGGGCTATCATGGACAAGTTACTTAACCTCTTTATGACTGAATTGTCTCAACTGTAAGTGAGAATCGCAATAGTGTGATGCTACTTTATAGAATTTTAAGTTTGAAAGTGAATTAATTCACATGAAATTATATAACTGTTGGTTTAGAAAAATGCCTAGCATAGGAAATTAGGGATAATTCTAGTAGAGGAGCCAATGGAGCACCTCTGAACTTTTCTTCTATTTATCAGATTAATGAATTTGTAATTAATCTTAGGTCCACAGATTCTCAGCACTGATAAGAAAATTAAGACTGGCTATATCCCCAAATAAGTATTTTTAAAAAGGAGTAGATGTCAAAGGAGATAATTTTTGTCCTTACAGAGCAGGAATCCTCTCCACACATCACAGTAGGATACTAGTTGTTCTGAAAGGGACGGGAATTATCTCCTTTGACCCCTACTTCTTTTTTAAACTTTTTATTTTGTATTGGGGGTAGAGCTGACTAACAATATTGTGATAGCTTCAGATGAATAGCAAAGGGACTCAGCTATGCATATACATGTATCCATTCTCCCCCAAGCTTCCTTTCCATCCAGGCTGACACATAGCATTGAGCAGAGTTCCATGTGCTATACAGTAGGTCTTTGTTGGTTATGCATTTTAAATATAGCAAAGTTTATATGTTTATCCCAAACTCTATAACTATCCCTTTCTCCCATCTTTCCCTCTGGCAACCATAAGTTCATTCTCTAAATCTTTGTGTCTCTCTCTTTTGTAAGTAAGTCCATTTATATCATTTCTTTTCAGATTCTATGTTTAAAGGATGTCATCCAATGTTTCTCCTTCTCTGTCTGACTTCACTCTGTATGACAGTTTCTAAGTCCATCCATGTTGCTGCAAATGGCATCGTTTCATTCTTTTTTATGGCTGAATAATATTCCATTATATATATAAATCACATCTTCTAAAACCATTTGTCTCTTGATGGATACTTATGTTGATTCTATGTCTTGGTTATAGTAAACAGTGCTTCAATGAGCATTGGGATACACATATCCTTTTGAATCATGTTTTTCTCTGGATATATGCCCAGGAGTTGGATTACAGTGTCATACAGTAGCTCTATTTTTAGCTTTTTAAGGAAACTCCATACTGTTCTCCATAATGGCTGTACCAATTTACATTTCTACAAACAGTGTAGAAGGGTCCCCTTCTCTCTACACCCTCTCTAGCATTTATTGTTTGTGGACTTTTTGATGATGACCATCCTGGTTGGTATGAGATGATATTGTAGTTTTGATTTGCATTTCTCTAATAATATGAATGTTGAACATCTTTCCATGTGCCTCTTGGCCACCTGTATGTCTTCTTTGGAGAAATGTCTGTTTAGGTCTTCTGCCCATTTGTTGATTGGGCTGTTTTGATGTTGTTAAGCAACATGAACTGTTGGTATATTTTGGAGATTAATCCATTTTATGTCACATCATTCTCAAATATTTTCTCCCAATATGTGGGTTGTTTTTTTTGTTTTGTTTATTGTTCCTTTGCTGTGCAAACCTTTTGAGTTTAAGCAGTTCTCATTTGTTTATTATTGTTTTTATTTCTATTATTCTGGAGGCAGATCAAAAAAGATATTGCTGTGATTTATGTTAGAGAGGATTCTGCCTATGTTTCTCCTTAGGGGTTTTATAGTGTCCAGACTCACATTTGGGTCTTTAATCTATTTGAGTTTACTTTTGTATGTGGTGACACCTACTTCTAGAAGGTTCTGGTTATTGAAAATGTCTTCCTTAAACATTATAATCTGCTCTAACTTCTGGATTATTTTTTCTTTTTGATATTCTCATCTGAATGTGACTAAGTATAAATGAATGTCCTTGCAAGGAGATCCAACCAGTCCCTCCTAAAAGAGATCAGTCCTGGGTGTTCATTGGAAGGACTGATGTTGAAGCTGAAACTCCAATACTTTGGCCACCTGATGCAAAGAGCTGACTCATTTGAAAAGACCCTGATGCTGGGAAAGATTGAGGGCAGGAGAAGGGGACAACAGAGGATGAGATGGTTGGATGGCATCACTGAGTCAATGGACATGGGTTTGGGTGGACTCCAGGAGTTGGTGATGGACAGGGAGGCCTGGCATGCTGCGGTTCATGTGGTCACAAAGAGTCGGACATGACTGAGCGACTGAACTGAACTGAAATAAATCTCTGAGTAATGACTTTGTTTAAGAAAATGTAAATTTTCCTACACTGAAGATCTTGCACCTAAATTTGAGTATTTAAAATATTGCTACTGTTCAGATGCTGTCTTATTTTTTAAGAACTCAAAGATTTCTATTTAAAAATTAAACTTAAGAAAGACACGGAAACGATGGTAGGGAGGGAGTAAAAGACCTGTATTCTAATTTAAGTTCTTTTGTCAGCTGGTGACCTTCCCACTTATTTTCCCATAGTGAAAAATCACAGTGCACAATGAAAAAATCCTAAGATTGAAATAAATGATCCCAAAGGAGTTTGCAATTGTGAAATTATATGCTCACTTTGCATTTCTCTGGCTAACTGCTTTCTGACCATTTTATTGCTATTAGTAACTTCAACAATGTGTGCACAGGGTCAGAAAGAGGAAGTAAAGTAAGTAAGTTTGGATAATTGATAGCGCTTGAAAAAATATTAATTGGCTTAAATATTAGAACTAAGAAATGAAATGAGGTAGTTAATATTTAGAATTGGCATTTCAATAAGTATATGATCTATTTTTAAATGTAAGAAGGGAAGCAGAGATTTATACATAGAGAAGATGAAACAATCCATTCTTTCTGGTTATAAGCTTACATTTCAAGATTGAAAACCAAGAATCTTGTTCTCTTTTATTGGATCAGGACACCAAGAAAATTTTCCTACATTCATTTTGAAAGTGGGATACTACATTTAATTATATATATATATATATATATATATATAATATAATATATATATAAAATATACTATATATAAAGTTTATGGCTACAAAAGTGATGCATGTACATTACAAAAATTCAAAGAATATAGAAATGTTGGAAATATTAAGTGCCTCACAATACCATCTTTAAAAGAAGCAAGCATTGTTAGTAACTTGGTGTATATGTGACCCCATGGACTGTAGCTCACCAGGCTCCTCTGTTGATAGGATTATCCATGCAAGAATACTGGAGTGGGTAGCCATTCCCTTTTCCAGGTATCTTTCCTACCCAGGGATTCAACCTGGAGTCTCCTGCATTGAAGGCAGATTCTTTATCATATGAGCCCTCAGGGAAGCCCCATATCTATACATACCAACTATATAATACCTATTTAGTGAAACCAGTGTATTTGTGCAAAAGAAAATATACGAAGTAGAACTGAGATCTTTGCATTATTTTATTTAACAAAGCTTTCATTGTAAATATAATCTATATTCTCTTTGATGAATGGATAATATTTCTTTACAAGGATGTGCCATTAATTATTTGTAAAATCCTTGATTGATCTCTTATCTTAGGATGCTTTTTAAACTCATGCATCAGTTCCCATTTTTTTTTCTCTGTCATTTGAACTTATGTACTTGGCTAAACCCTCTAGGTGGCCCCCCACCAAAATTCTTGTTGTCTAAGTTTGACTTTTGTCTTAAACATTTGCAATAAAAATTTTAAGTTGACACTTCACATGTGTTAAAAGTCATTTCTGAATAGTATAATGATAAACATGACACACGGCCTCCTTGGAGATGCTGAGAGCAATAAATTAGCTGACATTTATGAGTGCTTTCAAGTTGAAAAGTATTGAGAGTTATTTTTAAAAAGATGATTAAGTATAGCTCATCTCAGAAGTTATCAGGCTGTGATGAACAGTTTTCCACTGTTTAATCTCAGACTACTTTAATAGCAGCATCTACACCAGGGTGTGAAAAAGGTCCATCAGTAAACATATATTCAGTACACGTGTCTGACATAGAAAGGGGCTCTAAAATGAACAGCACTTAAATGGCTACCCCTAGGGAGTTAAACCTCCTGAAAACTGCACTGTGGACTTTGGCTTTGTATTACCTTTTTAATGTTAATCTGAGAATGAATGAGTTGCTCCTAAATACACAAATAGTTTGACCATCCTGAAAATCAACTTCTAACTCCTTGGTAAATGGTATGTGTGACCACACACACTCGTTTTCCTTTTATTATAATTTCTTTATCCTACCAAGTTGACGGGCTTCCCTCATAGCTCAGTTGGTAAAGAATCCACTTGCAATGCAGAAGTCACCGGTTCTATTCCTAGGTCCGGAAGATCCACTGGAGAGGAGATAGGCTACCCACTCCAGTATTCTTGGGCTTTCTTTGTGGCTCAGCTGGTAAAGAATCTGACAGCAATGTGGTAGACCTGGGTTCAATCCCTGGGTTGGGAAGATCCCCTGAAGAATGGAAAGGCTACCCACTCCAGTATTCTGGCCTGGAGAATTCCATGGACTATATAGTCCATGGGATCACAAAGAGTCATATATGACTGAGCGACTTTCACTTTCAGTTTCAACCAGGTTATAGGCCTGCTATTCCTTACCAAGATAAAAATGTTAATAGAGATTATGAAATTTCCCTGGAGAATTTACATTCTGAAGAATTATAAGTCTCTGAATAAACAGAATACTGGAACAGTTATCTACCTAATACTTAATACCTATGACACATTAGTCCTGAAGAGTGGTTACTACCACCTTATCAATGCACAACAGTATTCATAACTCTAGAATCAACCTTATTACAGTGAAACTATCTGTCTATGTGTCTGACAGATTCACAATTAGCTGTATTCTCAGTGCCTTAAATGAAGTGGACATACATACAGTAAATATTTGTTTAATTATGCTGGGGGGTACAGTGAGCAGGTGATTGTGGGGGAAATGGGTGTGGTCAGGACAAATACTGTGGTCCAGAAGAATAAGCTTTGTCAATCAAGAGATCCAGCACTAACTGCTCTTCCTTTATCACCAGGTGCATAAACTATAAAGATCATTACACAAATGGCTGGCATATCTGGTAAGGACATCCTCAATTTGTGCTATAAAATCTTTGGTGGTATATACATACTCCTTTTCCTAAGTAATTGAGATAGCATATGAAATCATACAGCTTAAGAAAACTTTAGGAATCATGTGGATTAACATACATAGAAACATCAGTTTCAGGTCATTGGCCAGTGTTTACTTAAACACTTCCTGTGACGACTGACTATTTTTAAGAATGATAGTTTATTCCCAAGTTGGATATTTTTAAAGGTGAAATCTTTCTCCTGAAATCTTTCAAAATGATCCATCCACTGATTTTAGTTCTTGCCTTAAACATTCAGGATAAGACAAAAAAAGAGTTGTTATAATTTCTAAATCTTGGCTTCTGTATTTTTCAAACTGAACATTGCAGTTAGCGGTTAGTTCCTCAAAGACAGAAGCCCTGTCTTGTCAACCTTTGAATCCCCACCTCCAACATCTAAAAATCTATTTGATCACTTACATTCTAGAAGAAGGTGGTAAAGAATCTGCCTGCCAATGCAGGAGACACAAGAGACGTGGGTTTGATCCCTGGGTTAAGAAGATCTCCGGGAATAGGAAATGACAACCCACTCTAGTATTCTTGCCTGGGAAATTCAGTGAACAGAGGAGTCTGTTGGGTTATAGTCTGCAGGGTCACGAAGAGTCAGACATGACTGAGCCAGTGCACACACACACACACACACACACACACACTTACACATACACTAGTTGAATGAATGACTGGATAACTGAATGGAAGCAGTAATGGATGAATGTAAGGAATTAAGATGCTACTCCTTTGAACAAATCTCCAATTTCTAAAGAGGAAACAATTAAGATTGCCTGGCAAGACTGCCTCATTCTGAGCTCAGAGAAGATTCCAGTCAGTGAAAATGTATGAGAGATGATGAGGGTTTGTTTAAGGAATTCGGCCTCTCAGAGGCCTTACAGCCGGGCTTCTGTGTTTTTTCACCTTTCCAGGAAGTAGCAGGAGCTCTTAACTTTGAGGCATGTTCCATCTCACTCCTTCCCTGCTTTCTCTGGCATCAGGTTCTTGCTGCTGATTTTCCTGGTGGCTCTTCTCTGTGGAACAGTGATCTTCTGCCTCCAGTGCTGCCTGAGGAGACTCCAAAATGGTCCCCGAAGACACACCATGGCTGTTTTTGCTGTTGGAGACTTGGACTCCGTTTACGGTAAGCTATTTTCACACTTTTAGATGTCCTCTTTGGAAACCTTATAGTTTTGTGTGTGTTGGAAAGTTAATCTATGAAAAACAAATTTGCAAACATAGAACAAGATATAGTTTACTGAGGACTCAAGGCATGCACTGGGGAGAGAGTCTAAATGAGAAAACTTCAGAAGAAGACTCCAAATTAAAAAAAAAAAATGTGTCCTGGGGAGTAACTCAGAGTTGAGTATGGGAATAGAACTTAAACCTAAACATTCAGTCAACAAGCAGAAGGGAAATGGTACACAGGGCTGGCCACTCCAGGTGAAAGCAGGGTTTAAGGTACAGAAGAGTATCTCTGGGCTTTTGATGTCCATCTGTCCTACCCTGTGTTCATTTACGAAGCTCACCATGCCTCACTTACCTGCAATAATATTGAATAATGCTTTTCAGGTTGTCTGCTTCCAGTGCAGAGCCTGAGAGACTTGGAATTGTGTAAGCGAGTGTCAGTACTCATGTCCTTTCTCTCCAGACACATTGGCAGTCTCCTGATCCTCCCTGCTCCCCACACCCACTCCCAAGCCCTGTTCTTTCTATTATTTTTTAGTGTGCATTAAGAGGTAAGAAAGGGAGAAAATTGTGGTCTTGATTTATTTGTAACTGCCAGCCTCAGCTTTAAGTAGAAAAATGACAGTTTTGTGATTTCTGAGAGGTGACAATTGACAGTTTATGTCTTCGTGTTAAGCATTGTCCTCGTCCAGAGATTGTCTGTTATGAGATTTTCCTTCTAAGGCACTACATTGTATATTACAGTTGCCTCAAGAGTGCTTGGCAGAAACTAACATCTGCCCTTCAGAAACTTGGGTCAGCATAAGATTTTCAATAGACAAAGTGGGAGATGTCCTGGAAAAACTCACAGCTAAATAAGAAGTGGGATAAAAATAAACTAAATTGTTTTAATCTCAAAATTCAGTATTAAGATTTAGTGATTGGATTCACTGTTGACTTTTTCTAAAGTTATTATTTAGTAGGGAAACACACTGTTAATTTGAAAAATGATCATTTGGGAAAGGATAATTAAAGTCTCCAATGAAAACAGACTTTCCTCCTAAAATCAGCAGCACTTTCCACTGAGCGTATAGAGAAATAGGGTCACTGACCCTCAAGCAAAGTATGTTGGTCAAAGGGATCAACGTGGTCACATTGGTCTATTTTTCTTTATCTAACAAGGGGTGCTCAATAAATAAACACAACTATGTTTCTTCCAACTTGACTTGAGCTACTACAGAGGAGAATCCACATTTGTCTTCTTAGCCGTTCTCTCACTCTGAGGAAGACTCTTTCACTAGATGACCTTGAAGCGTTAAAACAAACAAACAAAAAAATCTGGTTTTAATTTTTGGTAAATAAGCTACCCAGTTATACTGTTATAACTTTTCAGGTAGTTCATGTGCCACAGTTAAATCCCTACTTATCTAATATTTTTATATTTCCTGGATGATGTTTCCATACATGCTTTTGAATTTTCTGAACTTCCCTGACAGGTATGAATGTGAGAAAAGGAATCAAGACTGAAACAATGCTTCACAATTTAATTCACACCTACAAAGTACTAGGCACTAGGTCAGGGGTTTCACAGATACTAATTCTTAAAATACCAACTCAGAAAAGTGGCCATTACTTCCCTTAGAGGATGTTATCTACTTTTCTCACTCTGCTGTTTAAATATACCCCATAAATCTCTGTTGCAGGTCAACTAATGTACTACAAATTTTCCAAGATTGAGGATAACGAGCAATGAAAAGTTACATAGGGCACATATGGCAAAGGATCAAACACAACTGAGAAACAGTACAGTCACACACACACACACACACACACACACACACACACACACACACAGAGCTAGTCACCTCATTCGTGGACACTTATATCTTGAACCTTATATCTTGAACCACCAGATGTTTCCATTGGGTGATTCCTCAGTGGTAGGTTTTGCTGTCCAGAATTCTCATTTCCTTCCTCATTCTCTTCCTCATTCTACCTTTTCCTTCTTAATCCCTTGGGTGTAGCTTTGACTCTTGTTTTTTGCAAGAACATTTAAATTCTTTCTCAACTTAAATAACATTACCAAGTTCACTTCCGTTGATGTCCATTGTAGAGAACACGTTCAGTTGCCTCTTTCAGTTTATTTCTATCCTCACCTATGGTGATTTTCCCATCCACTGCCTGTCTCCCATCCTGTCCTATGGATGTTTAGGGTGGCTATATAGGTAGAGAATCACCATTCACATCGTCTTTGATGTGGATGTGGCTCCCAGACTTATGCTCCCTGCCATTCTTATTTTTCCTCTCCAAAACAAAACACAAATAGTTCAGAAAGTGGTATTCTCTGTGATCTCTAGTCACTGGTTGTTGGTTTAATCACTAAGTCATGTCTGACTCTTTCAACCCCGTGGACTCTAGCCCACCAGTCTCCTCTGTCCATGGGATTTCCCAGACAAGAACACTGGAGCAGGTTGCCATTTCCTTCTCCAGGTGACCTTCCAACCTGGGGATCAAACCCACATCTTCTGCATTGCAGGCAGCTTCTTTACCCCTGAGCCACCATGAAAGCCCCAAGTCACCTCTTTTTAACTAGTAATTTCTGGAATTAAACTCCAGGGAGCTAATATTATAAGGCAATCTGACACCCAGACCCACACCAAATTTCCTTTCCCCGCTGAATTCTTGTTATACTTTCACTTCTCCAGACAAATATCCTCCCTATCTAATACTTCCTTAAAAGGAGGTACTCTCCAAAAGAGAAGTGAGGGAAATACTAAAGGATCTTTTTACTGCTGAGAGGGAAGTAAGGGCCAAACCACAGCTTCTGCCTCCACAGTCCCACAAAATTTTGTGCTGCCAGGTTGGAGCTAAGTCCACCCCATCTGGGTTTTCCCGTCTATACTGCAGGTTATGAGTTTGTAGTTCTGAGTCTTCCCCATAGCCGCTGTTCAGAAGCAGCAGAGGAAAATGAGAACTCGTTTGCAAACCAATGGTGACATATTAGAATATGAAATGAGGTTCCTGGACTCCCTGCCACCCCTTGATCAAAAGGGGGCAGATAGGACTTCCCTCCTGAATATAGAATGTAGGAAATAAGTCATTTAAAGCTTTTCAATGATGAGACGTGATTTTATATATAAGCCCTGGGTTCCTCTAAAACTTTCATTTTATTTCTTCAAAATTTATTTCATGTTATTACCATACTCTGCTGAATATGTTAGTTGAAATAGCTCTGCTCTTCTGACCTGAGGGTCAGAGGTTCAAGATCTCATGAAATCTGCCCTCAAATGAAAAGAGCAAAGAGGAGAATTGTGACTGACTATCAGAGGCTGGATTGGAGTGAACTTTACTGATATTAAAATATATAAAATTTCTCGCTGGCAATTCCTGACAATATTACATGACTCTGGTTGTCAATTATCTTGATTAGAAATATTAAAAAAAGGAAGGAAATACTTGGCTCGGGAATCCCTGTAAAATGTGTTTAAGGAAGGCCTTACCAGTTCAGCCCATCACAGTGATGAGACTTCTGTCTGGAAAAGTCCTTAGGAATCTCAGCCAAACACCAAGGCCTCAAGATAATCTTCTAGACCAATAATCATGCCTTTTCACAATTCTATGCTGACTCAAGGCTCAGATTTGTTTTCCTTCTCCTCTGAAAAGGTTTAATGTTTCCATGTTGTAACATTAACATGTTACGTTAACATGTAACATTAACATGATGAAGCTCTTTGTGCACCAATAAAAGAATTAATTCCTCTGATACTCCAGTGGAGGGTAAAGAAGAATGGTGACTGAAATTCAGGCAATCTTAGTCACCCACATGTGAGAGAACAGAATGATATAAAAAAGGATACAGAGCAGAAAGAATAAGAAAGGCATTTTCAAATAAACCAAGTCCATTAGAGTGACTCTTAATGACTTGGGGAGTCTGAACTCTAGGTATAAAAAATTAGCAGTGAGTGTATTGGTTTTACAAAATCAAAAACAAACTGTTATCTTCACCAATAGCTGTTAAAATCATAGGATTTTTGTAGGCATTTTTAACTGAGCTCTCTCAGTTTCCTAATTTGTCAAAAGATAAAAATAAAAGATACAAATGCTTGTTTCCCTCCCAATCACATGATATTGTATGTAAACATGCTTTGAAAAAAAAATTGAGAAGTGACATGTGTTCAATTTTACAAAAGCTTTCTGAGCTTAATTCTGTTTATCATATGAATACCGTATGGTTTTCATAAGTTTAAGAGCAATGGGCAAATCTGTAGTAAGGAAATAACAATAAACCTTTTCTAACATAAAGAGCAAGTGTCAATATCTTGCTGCCTGGAGCATGACATTAATAATGACCCTGGTAGATATAATTCAAGCTAATAATTATTTTTAATAAACCTGGCTAACCACTCCAGATACAATGATAGCCAAGTTACCTCTGACTCTGTATTGGATTTGCTGGAAGCAATTCATCTGGAAAATGGGCAGTGCTTGCTAATTGTACCCACAAAGGAGGGAAATACTGAGGCAAGTCCACTTTGCCAGTGTTAACTCTTTTTGTCAAGACATTTGGACTAGCCTACATCATTCTAAACTTCCTAAATATTCAAGGCTCTAACTCCAAGAAACTTTTTTTTTAATAAGAAAATTTTCATTCAGTAATCTCTGTGCCATTAGTATTAATAAGGGTAATGATTAAATCATTATTTAAACATTAAAATAAGAAAGTTTGGGAAATATTACTGTCAATAAAGGAAAATGCATGCATACTCCTAGCATAGTACAGTTCTTCATATATAATAATAATGCTAATGATAATACTTTAGCCAACTCATTGGAAAAGACTCTGATGCTGGACAAGATCGAGGGCAGGAAGAGAAGGGGGTGACAGAGGATTAGATGGCTGGATGACATCACTGACTCAATGAGTTTGAGCAAACTCCTGGAGACAGTGATGGACAGGGAGGCCTGGTGTGCTACAGTCCTTGGGGTCCACAAAGAGTTGGACACGACTAAGCGACTGAACAAGAACAACAACAAAATGCTAATATCGCTACTGATAAGAGTGACAGTCAACTTTAATGCATGTCAGCCTTTGTTTTAAGCACGTTACATTTCATTTAGCCTTGCTTTTATAGATATTGCACAACAGCAAGCTGAGGTGTAAAAACTTGTGTAATAAGTTAGCATTAGGTTATTCAATTAAATAAATTAACTCCTTAAGGAAAGTGTTGAACCAGGAGGTGAGATTTATATTCTATATATGGCTCTACTCTTTACATATTACATTAATTTTTAAATTATTATACTTTGTCCCATGAACCAGGGAGATACAAAATAAAGCAAACGCAAATATATGGAAATTCATGATTCTAAATAAATCAAATGCACTCCAAAGCAATAATTTTGATTAATTTACATATAGATTCTGCTGATACAGCTATTGCCTTTTATGTAACTACTCTCGGAGTCCTCTTAATTGTGGCTTGTTCTTTGAAATCTCCTTGATAGTATAGACTCTTAATCCTTTAAGGAAGGATCTTTAAACTTTTCGTATTAAAGTCCAGGCAAGAAATATGTTTGGCTTTGCAAGCATATGATCTCTATCGGGACTACTTACTTCTGCGATTTTAGTAGGAAAAGCAGCCAGAGACACTATGAAAATGAATGGACATGATTGTGATACAATTCAATTTAATACACAAAAACAGCCAAAGGTTAGATTAAGGGTGTAATTTCTTCTTTAAAGGTGAATTTATGGCTGTCATTAATTTATGTTATGTTATTGTTTTGGGAAGAAGCAGTCAAATTATTCCCAGAAAGGTAAAGACCTTTGAGAAAAAAGGAAAACAATATAGATAAATGACTATAAAGTATTACTATTGATTTCCTGTGTGACTCTAAAGCAGTCTTTCAAGCCAATACTAATAAAAGGTTTCCCAAAAACCTATTGGAATAAGTGCATAATCTCTCAAGGTGATCAGTTTAAGGAAGAAAATGCATGTCTTTTATATTGGATGGTTTGTAGTGTGCATGATCTAAAGTCAAGACCTTTAATTTCAAAATTTAAAATTTGATAATGTCTTTTGCTTATTGTATGTATATACTTTCATTACAAACTTTTCACAACTTAATATTTTTACTATGCATCATCGACAGATGTTGAAATTAATTAATTGCATTAGTTTCAGTTTACAGAACATAGACATGAAAGAATGAAGTTCAGATGTAATACTTTAATGTTTCTAGTGAGATTGCATATCTCATGATGGGAGCATTAGCTAAAATGCCATTAGTGTTTACAGGAATCTTGTCTTCTGATCTACCAAAAGGGATATTTCTTCTAGTTTCAGCTGTTAAATTGTAAATGCTTCTTGATGGCTTAGTCAAAGATGGCCTAATCAGTGCATGAGAGCAAATTTTCTTGCTGTAATGACTAAAATATCACAGCAGAGAGTGAAATGATTGTAACTTTTTTCTCAAGGGTACAAATAATTTTCTGTTGCTCCAGTGATCCAAGAAATGCCAGATTTTATTAGGCAGCTCATGTGCTTCTATTTTATGCTGACTAGAAAGATTATGCCTCCACCTTTCTCTTTCCAGGGACAGAAGCAGCTGTGACTCCAACTGTTGGAATGCACCTACACACTCAAAACCCTGAACTGTTTTGTGTTCCCTGTTTTGGAGTTTCAGGCCCCCCGCCTCCATATGAAGAAACTAAAGTCAAGCCGATTTTAGATCTAGATCGCTTATTGAAATGATTAGAAATATTTTAAATTCCAAAACATGCAATTTAGGAACAATTCTTTCACTTAGTGAGAATTCCTGGAAATCAGTTAACGTAGTCTTAAAAAGGACAAATAAACGAATATAAGAAAGGAATTTTGAGCATGGAGATGTTTCTGTAGTCAACTAGTGGACCCTTGTTATATCACTCTTGCTTAATAATTTTATGTTCCTAATCAAGTTTCTTGATGCACTCCAATAGGCAGTAACTAACCTAAGGGGTGGCTTCCATTAAGTTTAGAGTTCCACTCCATTATATGTCACAGATTTCTCTGCCTCAATCTCTGTTTTAACCTGACCTCTTCCCTGATATGGGGTCAATAAAATTACTTAACAGTGACCCACAATAAACTGTGGAAAATTCTTAAAGAGATGGAAATACCAGACCACCTGACCTGCCTCTTGAGAAACCTATATACAGATCAGGAAGCAACAGTTAGAACTGGACATGGAACAACAGACTGGTTCCAAATAGGAAAAGGAGCATGTCAAGGCTGTACAGTGTCATCCTGCTTATTTAACTTATATGCAGAGTACATCATGAGAAATGCTGGGCTGGAAGAAGCACAAGTTGGAATCAAGATTGCTGGGAGAAATATCAATAACCTCAGATATGCAGATGACACCACCCTTATGGCAGAAAGTGAAGAAAAATTAAAGAGCCTCTGATGAAAGTGAAAGAGGAGAGTGAAAAAGTTGGTTTAAAGCTCAACATTCAGAAAACTAAGATCATGGCATCTGGTCCCATCACTTCATGGCAAATAGATGGGGAAACAGTGGAAATGGTGGCTGACTATTTTGGGGGGCTCCAGAATAACTGTAGATGGTGATTGCAGCCTTGAAATTAAAAGATGCTTACTCCTTGGAAGGAAAGTTATGACCAACCTAGACAGCATATTAAAAAGGAGACATTACTTTGACTACAAAAGTCTGTCTAGTCAAGGCTATGGTTTTTCCAGTAGTCATGTATGGATGTGAGTGTTGGACTTATAAAGAAAGCTGAGCACCGAAGAATTGATCCTTTTGAACTGTGGTGTTGGAGAAGACTCTTGAGAGTACCTTGGACTGCAATGAGATCCAACAAGTCCATCCTAAAGGAGATCACTCCTGAGTGTTCATTGGATGGACTGATGTAGAAGTTGAAACTCCAGTACCTTGGCCACCTGTTGTGAATAGCTGACACATTTGAAAAGATCCTGATGCTGGGAAACATTGAAGGCAGGAGAACTCTTCATGACAGAGGATAAAATGGTTGGATGGCATCACCGACTCAATGGACATGAGTTTCGATAAACTCCAGGAGTTGGTGATGGACAGAGAGGCCTGGCATGCTGCAGTCCATGGAGTCGTAAAGAGTCGGACATGACTGAGTGACTGAACTGAACTGAACAGTGACCCAAACAGAGATTCATACATGTCCAGATCCAGAGTCAGAAAGATAATATTTGAATTAGGGTCAGGGGAGAGAGTAGGAAGAAGGACCATTTGGAGTTGAAGGGTGAAAGATGAATGAAGAATATGATTAAAGTTCAAGGAGCTGTATGTCACAGCCTGAGGAGGGAGAAAGTGTTGGTAGAAGCTGAAAGACATTTCTTAACTGTGCATCCATGCCTACTAAGTGGCTTCAGTCTTATCTTACTGTTTGAGACCCCATGGACTGTAGCCTGTCAGGCTCCTTTGTCCATGGGAATCTCTAGGCAAGAATACTGAAGTGGGTAGCCATTCCCTTCTCCAGGTTATCTTCCCAACCCAGGGGTCAAACCCATGCGGCACATGTAATCCCATGTTGTGGAGAAGCAGAGATTCCAATTTTATATGAGAGCCCAATAATTGGTGCCTCAACTGGGCATTTCTCGGCAAACTATGAAAAAAAACCCTTGGGATAGGTATCAATATTCCCATCAGGAAATGCTTCAAATTGATTCCACCTTCAAAATAGGTCTGGATACTAAGCATATCTTACCCTGTCTCTGGTGTGAGCCCATGTATTGTCAGTTCTTGCTTGGATTACTGTAATAGCATCTAAACTGGACTGTTTGCTCTCAGCTTTGACTTCCTATATTCTATTTCCAATACAGTATCTAGAGTAATGCTTTTAGAACATAAAGTGGAACATGTTCCTTAACTAAACTCCAATGACAACACTACTCACTCAAAAATGCCAAAAGTCCTCAATACATGGCCCTATACAATCTATACCCTTTTCAAGTTTCCTTTTTAATAACTCTCTCCCTTACTCATTTGTTCCAGGAACATGGTCCTCAAATCCACCAGACATTATGTCCCCATATGTCCTTTCTGGCCTTAGTGCTTACTGTTCTTTTTTCCTATGAAACTGTTGCCTCAGATATGAACATTTCTTCACATTTTCACCTCCTGTTCGTCTTTGTTTGAAAGTCACCTTCTCAATGAGGACCACCCTGATTATCCTACTTTAAGTTGCAATTTCTCCCAATCCTAGCACTTCCACCTCCTTGTCTCAGAAACACACTTTTCCTTTTCTCATAGTACCTATTGTATTCTACACATCATCTTCTACTACAACACATGGCAAAATTCTATTCATAGTCTGCTGTTGACTTTTCCTTGCTAGAATGTAAACCAACGAAAGGATGAATCTTTGTGTTATCCACTGATTTATACCCCTAGCCTCTAAAGCAGCCTGGCACTATTATGTATTCAAATAAATTTTATAAGTTCCCAATTCTGGAAATTTCCAAAAATAGCTGGATGGGAATTTATGAAGATGAAAGATTTACAGAAGTCAATCTGGGTAAGAGCTGAAGACAGCTGGAAATACTGTAAAACATGAAGTCACACATATATCCATTCTCTTATTAAACCCACTAAAATTATAGCTCAGTTCAGTCACTCAGTCATGTCCAACTCTTTGCGACCCCATGAATCGCAGCACGCCAGGCCTCCCTGTCAACCACCAATTCCCAGAGTCCACCCAAACCTATGTCCATCGAGTTGGTGATGTCATCCAATCATCTCATCCTCTGTCGTCCCCTTCTCCTCCTGCCCTCAATCTTTCCCAGCATCAGGGTCTTTTCAAATGAGTCAGCTCTTTGCATCAGGTAGCCAAAGTATTGGAGTTTCAGCTTCAGCATCAGTCCTTCCAATGAACACCCAGGACTGATCTCTTTAGGATGGACTGGTTGGATCTCCTTGCAGTCCAAGGGACTCCCAAGAGTCTTCTATAACACCACAGTTCAAAAGCATCAATTCTTCGGTGCTCAGCTTTCTTTATAGTCCAACTCTCACATCCATACATGACTACTGGAAAAACCATAGCCTTGACTAGATGGACCTTTGTTAACAAAGTAATGTCTCTGCTTTTTAATATGCCGTCTAGGTTATTCATAACTTTCCTTCCAAGCAGTAAGTGTCTTTTAATTTCATGGCTGCAATCACTATCTGCAGTGATTTTGGAGCCCCCAAAATTAAAGTCAGCCACTGTTTCCCCATCTATTTGCCATGAAGTGATGGGACCAGATACTATGATCTTAGTTTTCTGAATGTTGAGCTTTAAACCAACTTTTTCACTCTCCTCTTTCACTTTCATCAGATGCTTTTTAGTTTTTCTTCACTTTCTGCCATAAGGGTGGTGTCATCTGCATATCTGAGGTTATTGATATTTCTCCCAGCAATCTTGATTCCAACTTGTGCTTCTTCCAGCCCAGCATTTCTCATGATGTACTCTGCATATAAGTTAAATAAGCAGGATGACACTGTACAGCCTTGACATGCTCCTTTTCCTATTTGGAACCAGTCTGTTGTTCCATGTCCAGTTCTAACTGTTGCTTCCTGATCTGTATATAGGTTTCTCAAGAGGCAGGTCAGGTGGTCTGATATTTCCATCTCTTTCTGAATTTTCCACAGTTTATTATGATCCACACAGTCAAAAGCTTTGGCATAGTCAATAAAGCAGAGATAGATGTTTTTTTCTGGAACTGTCTTGCTTTTTCAATGATCCATTGGATGTTGGCAATTTGATCTCTGATTCCTCTGCCTTTTCTAAAACCAGCTTGAACATCTGGAAGTTCATGGTTCACCTATTGCTGAGGCCTGGCTTAGAAAATTTTAAGCATTACTTTACTAGCATGTGAGATGAGTACAATTGTGCAGTAGTTTGAGCCTTCTTTGGCATTGCCTTTCTTTGGGATTGGAATAGATACTGACCCTTTCCAGTCTGTGGCCACTGCTGAGTTTTCCAAATTTGCTGGCATATTGAGTACAGCACTTTCACGACATCATCTTTCAGGATTTGAAATAGCTCAACTGGAATTCCATCACCTCCACTAACTTTGTTCATAGTGATGCTTCCTAAGGCCCACTTGACTTTACATTCCAGGATGTCTGGCTCTAGGTGAGTGATTACACCATCGTGATTATCTGGGTCCTGAAGATCTTTCTTGTACAGTTCTTCTGTGTATTCTTGCTTACCTCTTCTTAATATCTTCTGCTTCTCTTAAGTCCCTACCATTTCTGTCCTTTATTGAGCCCATCTTTGCATGAAATGTTCCCTTGGTATCTCTAATTTTCTTGAAGAGATCTCTAGTCTTTCCCATTCTATTGTTTTCCTCTATTTCTTTGCATTGATCACTGAGGAAGGCTTTCTTATCTCTCCTTGCTATTCTTCGGAACTCTGCATTCAAATGAGTATATCTTTCCTTTTCTCCTTTTTTTTTTTTGCTTCTCTTCTTTTCACAGCTATTTTTAAGCCCTCCTCAGACAGCCATTTTGCTTTTTTGCCTTTCTTTTTCTTGGGGATGGTCTTGATTCCTGTGTCCTATACAATGTCACCGACCTCCATCCATAGTTCATCAGGCACTGTTGATCAGATCTAGTCCCTTAAATCTATTTCTCACTTCCACTGTATAGTCATAAGGGATTTGATTTAGGTCATACCTGAATGGTCTAGTGGTTTTCTCCACTTTCTTCCATTT